TCATGCCGCCACAGAAACAAAGCATTTAAATTTACTGCCACGCCTGTTATGCAAGTATATAAACGATTGTTACGAATATTCTTAACAATAAAATCCCTGATGAGTAAGTAATCACGAAACAGGAATGTAGGGATGAAAGTATAGTCTCTGTTTTTTTTCCCATCTCAATATATATCGTGCTCGACTTCTACATATCGAGCACTGTACTACGGGAAATTCGAAACATAAACTTCCTTTATGTATGTGTGTGTGTAAGCAACATTTTGTATGATATGGCATATCTTTTTTACAAGTGAATCTAAATCGCTTGACTAAATTTGCCGTCAAAATAAGATTAAAGTTTAATCCATTTTTGTGAATGGGCATTGGTAATAAAAGGAACTCATTCAGCTTTTGTATAGTTAATCACATGATTTCCAGTGCAATGAACAGCAGAAACGCAGTGTGGCAAGTGTAGAGCACTCTATTGGCTGATTTGATATCTGTTTTGTCTTCGTACCTCAATATAAAGCATGCGATAAAAATATACCACCGTTAACGTTTCAGTGAGTCGGCCGAGGTTAATCACAAGATCCACCGCAAATAGAACCTTCTGAGAAACTTCAGTGAAAACTAATGCTTGTTATAAGGCAACTTTTGTGACGCTGTCCATTCAAGCGATCACAGTGTACTTTTTTAAGCGTCCTTGTGTGACTATCACTTTGTATTCTGTCCATTTAACTATCGCCACATACCTCTCCCAAGCTATCAGCAATAAATGGTGATAGGAGATAGTATATAAAGTGATAAGAAAAGAGACACCGATTTCACTCAGAAAATAGATAATGCTGGTGATACAGTTCCACGAAGAATAAGCGCATCTACAGCGATTGAAAGTGGCATAGAAACTGCGCCAACTGAAAGATCAGTCACGGCCAAATTAGCAATCAGAATATCAGATTTCTTTTTTTAGTTCTCCTACTTTCTTGATCGCTAACATGTTAAGAGAGATGATCCATGGACAAGCAACGGCTGTTACGCCAATGGTGAGCTGAAGCGAAAGTGTTTGCTTTAGGTCCCATTTGAACTGCGGTATGCTTGGGCCAAAAAGCACTGATTTGGAGGAACTGTTAAGTGCATCCTCAAAGTTACTTACGCTCATTTTGTTAAACTCCAGTTTTATCACCGCGTGTTTTAAGGATTATTGTGCCGAAATTCAAATTTGTTGGGAAATTATCTGTTAGAATTTAATTCCCTTTTGAGAATTCTGATTGATTGTTTTCCTGGAAAATAATCCGTAGTTAGAAGTAAAGATAACATTACTTAAGTATTGCGTTTTCTCAAAGGGAAGGATATCAATGAAATCTGACTTCCTTGTGATGAAAATTCAGGTTCACTGGGTGATGGGGATTAAGGCCGTCAATAAAGAAATGTTCGAAACAAATTAACAAATTAATTTTTTTTAGCTGTCTATTTTTAAGTAATTAAGAATAAACCTGAGAAAACCAAACGTCTGAGATCTCCATCATAATATAATCAGGACTAAATAATTATCAGTCGACAGTGGTTAAGCGTGTTATGTACTCTTATTGACAACGATATTCGCTATCATGTGGATTCACGGGGCGCAGCGGTTTTAAAACGTTTCTTTTTGTCAAGTTCGTAGACCTGTTGGAGAAGAAATGCGTCTCGTACTCCGAACTTTCAGTTCCATTTCGTTACGATGGGAGGTTCTCGTCAAATGTGAAAAGTTCACCTCAGTGGTCTGCGTGGCTGTCCAGAATAAGCCAAAGATTAGAATGAACAATTGGGATTCTAAATTTTTTTTCTGTTTTCATCAAGCAAGGAAATCAAAACAGAGAGGGAAAAATTGCGGCCATACACATTCTACAGGTTGGCGATCGGCAGCACGTTACTTCGAAGATCTTTTTCCTTCACGAAGATCGCTTTCATTCACAACTTCATCCACAGTTCACATGTATGACTTTCATATATTCACAGTTATCTACTCATTACTTCACCGGTTTATTTGGAACAAATATAATGAACATTTCCCAGTTAGCTTGGTTGCTCAGTTGATAGAGCGTTGGTCAGGCCTGAATTTTTTTCTTTTTAAGGCCTTATTTTCACTACTACTCAAATAGTGTTCATTACTGCGAAGATCGCTTTCATTTCAAATCGGCAAAATTGGGCGAAATCAGTCATCTGGGAAATTTACAGACAGCCCCACGAATCAATTCTTAAATACGTTTATGATAAACCTTTTTTAGGCATTCAGAGTATTTCAAATGTAGGCTGGCAGACCTACGGTAAAACTAAAACAAACACAAACACGAAAAGAAAGAAACCGCAATGTTCCCTAAAAATGTCAAGTTCAGTGTTTGTTTAAGTAAATACGAGTTCTGTATGGCTTCCTGATCAGAAAAAAACGACGTATGAAATTCACTGGGGGATTTCGAATTCTCAACGATAACAGCCGAAAAATAAAAAAAACAAACAAACAGATAGGTGCTTATTCGATCACGTAGGACTGTGCGGCTCACTTGACAGCTAAATAAAATAACTCGACCTTGTCTCTAAACAGGCTCTTTAATGTGGAAAGAAAAACCTTACACATCCAAAAACTTACATCAAACACTGTAAGTTGTTGATTTAGTCAAGATAAAGATACAAAAATGGGACGCGGTAAAATTTGAAAAGTTTGGAGAGTCTCATTCTACGACAAACAGAAGGAACCTATGCATTCTGTTAAACTATAAAATTTTCCATACTTTGAACGATTCACGAAACGTCTTTGAGCCTATAAAACAATTTTTAAATAACATTAGATAAAAAAGAATACTTTTACTTGTTCTCGAACCCTTGGATGTTTCAGTTGGGTGTGATAACTGCGAAGAAGAACAATGTGACTTAAAGACTGTGTCATCGCTTAATTTAGGTTCGAGGGGCCTGACGACACGTTCCGACGTCGCGATCGGGTCAACAGCTCACTTCACGTGATATCGAGATTTTTCGTGCATATATTTGTTCTTTTTTAGCGACAGAATTTTGCCCTGAAAAAAGCCCTGACAAATTTAAATTAGTTTGAATATGTATCATAGCATCGAGATGATAGTCGAGGACGGATCGTTTTGTGAGGCTTTCCCGAGGTGAAAAATAATTGTTTCTTTCTAACGAATCAAAAATTGGGTGTCGTTATAACAACCGCTAATCCATAGAGTGAGTCATTTCTAAAACTAGCTGCAGCAAAAGTGTCCTCATCTGGGGTCCACAGTGCTTGAGCTGCCATTTGTATTCCACCATCTCTCACAGCTCCAATGTATACGAGGCAAGCTATTTTCCGCTGGCCGCCTCCGCTCGTTTGCTTCTCGCCATCGCTGCTACCACAAAGTCGAGTAATTATCTTACTTATACTTCTACTCGCTCGATCGCAGCTTGTCGGAGAGTAATCATCCATGGTTAACAGATGTGACCTCAAGACCCCCTCCAAAATTCCCTGCAAGTGAAAATCATCTGGTTTGAAAAAGTCACCCTTGCTATTCTCTTTGCCGTCTGAGTCCCCGCGGAGTCGATTTGTCTTGATGTGACGATCGGATAATGCGAAATTGGTCATAGCATCTGAGGTGGTTAGGTTTTCCAGATTGAAAGCCAGGTCTTGAATCTGGTTTGAGAAGTCGTTAATTATTGTTTCGTATTCATTTACAGAACTTATCTCTTCTTCTTTGCTCGGCACACCAGTTGGATCCGATCCTCGTCTTTCCTTTAGGGCTAAATGTTCGTACGCTTTGCTGAAGGAAGGATACAGCCTTTTGGCCAGACGGGCTTTCTTTCCTGGGTCACCTTTAGTCATCTTGTTTTGAACCACGTCAGGATTAGAATTTATATGTTTAGAGCTTGTATTGGAAGCGGCCGCTTTGCTAAATAGATGCAAGGGCGACACTGCCTTTCGTTTCAGTTTGGGACGCAACTTCTTCAAACTTCCCTGTCTTTCGAAATTTTTGTGTGGGTTTTTCTTTCCAGAGACTGTGGGATCTGAAAGTCGTCGTTTTTGGCTGGGGGAAGATTCGTTCGTTTCGGCCGCCGAACTTTGTGATAAGCTTCTTAGAAACATTTTATGATCTCTTCCACTTGCGGGAGAGCTTTGTGGCAAGAGTAAAAGTTCTGTGTCGCTTGTGAATCCTTCAAGTTTGAAATTCTTAACCCGTTCCTTTTCCAACTCACTTTTTCCAAAGTTCTTGTCGATCGAGAACCAGTTTGTTTGTTTGTGATTGTGGCCGCTTTCTGTATACATTTTCTCTAGACTGGCCGGATCTTCAGGCACTTTAGAGTTACTGGTTGAAGATTCAATCGCCGGACCAGATGAGAATGTCAAAACTGGTGTTTTCTTCAAATAGAGGTGAATTTCTTCACCATCATCGAAACGTGAGGGATTTCTCGCCTCTTCCCGCTGATGTTCGTGTTCGGTCGTCATAACTCTTTTGCTTTCAGTCAGTTATGTTTGCAAATCGTGAAGACGCTTCGTAAACAACAGAGTTAATTACAAAGAGAAAACAATGGCTTGTCCAAATCACTTTATCTCAGCTTTAAGAGCTTTGTTAGCTTCTGTCGTTAAGTGTATGGAATCTTTGCTCTAGCAATTTGCAGCTTCGAAACTGAAAGCCAACAGCGATTTGAAAAAAAAATCTATCATCAAGGTAATTCAGACTCCAATGCAAAAACATCTCTGAGAAGATGATTCCTTTTCTTCTTGTCGAGATTATGTATTCATTTTGAGTAACCCAATTGATAATTAATTGAAAATTCATTCCAGCGTGAAATTAGAAACAAGATTTCTCGTAAGTAATTTCTTTAATCTAGAAATCCGTAGGAACATTCGCATCTCTAAGAGGCAATAACAACTGCCTAGAAAACTTCTCTTGTTCGGCCAAGTCTTTGACACGGAAAGTGGAGTTTCAAAACTTCAAGTCGTCAAATTCATCTTTCCAAAAATATTCATTAATATCCTCGAATTAATTTTATTATGTTGTCTCCTATTACACTGTGCTCGCCTAAAGCAGAACTCCGTCAGTCGACATCGAAGTCCTTTTCGATATCGAACGGTTAAAATACCCGCTTCCGCCGGCATTGCTTGAATTATGTATTAGCAATAAGATTAATTTAAAAACACTAACGGAATAAATCGGATTGCGTGTAATTTCCACATGTTTTTTGTCATGTATTAAAACAAGTCAGCCCTGAGCGATTAAATTATAAAGTAATCAGTTGATTCTGTTTTAAAAAGCGTAGTCATCGAAGCAAATACGTCAACTATAAAAAAAAGAGAGCAGTTATTAATGAATTAATTGTGTTTCCTATCAGTGGGATACTGCAAGACATCTGAATTGCGGCCAAAAACACATAAACATGACCGTAATAAGACAATTAGTCACTTAGAAAATAAAAATACCATTGAAATGGAAAGAAAGTGTTTCTGTTCAGGAACTTACTTAGTAAGAAACTCAGTATTCTGCCAACTGGATTTTATCGAACCCATGGCCCCGGTTTCCCTGATAAGTTGATTACGGACCTCTACGCTTTGGCTTTTTTCAGCGGAAAAATGTAATGCTTACAACTAGTATATGATGTAAAGGTTATGCTTAACTGAAACGGCAGAAGTAAATATGATATGTTTTAATAAAGGAGAAACATTTAAAGAAACTTAATTCCTACTTCGGTTGGGGGTGTACAACGAGATTATTTGGTTTTATAAATTGAGTTGATAAAGTAAACTGATCACCGTAAAGAGTTTTAATTAAGCTGACTTTTCGAGCGTTAGGTTTTCGTAAGAACTAAAGGCGAAGGGTTCAACGCTCAAAACATTAGCTTTAGAAACTCTTAGCGGTGGCCAATTATTTAGGGTTAATGAATTTGATATATTTTAAGCTTTGTGACTGAAGTGAAAGATTTTGTGTTTAGTGAGTGACAGAGGTTTCTCCCCTGTTTGTTTGTTTTAGGGTCAAACCTATGGCATTAAGCTATACTATATTGGCTATATTCCTTACAAA